TGCTTGCTCCTTATGCCCAAGCATCCACGAAGCTAAAAAAACATTAGTATTATGAGATCATACTCTGGCTAAGTTAGATACAGAAAGGTTGTGCCCACATCCGCTCATTTTCCTGCATCAATTTTGACTTGCTGACGTGCATTTAGGACAAACATAACACTCTACTTGCATAGTAAAAACATAAAACAGCAAACAAATCCGGCAATACCTCATTAAAATCGCAACGTGAGGCATAAGGAGCAAGCTATTTGAGTGGTGATTGGTGATTGCTTGTGAATAATGGTTTCCGGCTATGAAGATGTCCGTCACATAACGAACGGAAGATAGTCAAGGAGTCATACGAGTTGTAGGAAGGCGAAACGTGGCCTTACCCGCACAAATCATCAGACAAAAGTCAAAGGAAATCCACTTTTAGTTTCCGGTGGGGCCAATTTCCCAATTCGTCCATCTTGAAATGAAAGGTTGACTTACACTTTCTACTTAGTCTTGTTGCATCGAAACGAAAAATGAATCCTTATGAAATTTGTTTGCTGAGTGACGTAAGATCATTAAATCGCTTCGGAGAGACCGAAATCTACCCCCGCCCTGTAGTGAGATCGAGCCCCAAATATTTTCATCATACACTTTCATACGAAATGAAAGTCCCAAGCAAAATGTTATCTCTGGAAATTCATCGAAACCTTAGTAACTACCCATAAATTAAGCTGATCCTGCAGTACATATCGTCGTATAAAATATTCAAGAAATTAAATGATGGACACTTGCTAATTGGTTATTAAGACTTTACTACATTTTATTTGTTGACTATTATCGGTAATATTAATATTAATATGATAAGCTTCCGAGACTCTCAGTAATTATTAGATGAGAAATTGGCCAGCTTAGGTCGCTTTTGCTGAATTGAGAATTGATATTTAAGTTTATCCCACAAACAGAAAATTATTGGAGTCAAACATGTATTTTCCACTAATTTTATGATATTACTTATATGCATATTAGTTGAGCATTTTGCATAACTAACGAACACCAAATACAATTATAGTCATAGATTGTAATAGGAAATGCACGCTTGTCTACCCGTTGATCTAATTTTAAGTGTGAATATAGAGTGGCCTTGTGAAAATAGATACTTACCTTCACGCCTTAAATCAGCCCAAGCAACCAGTAGTGACTAGGCTTTATGTCGGAAAATTAGGCGAATTCTTTATTTACATATGCTCTGATAATTTTTCTGATTTACCCAATGTCTACAATATTCTTCCTTATGTTTATAATCCATATTCGGCTTCCTTTTATGCTTTTTAATAAATAATTTTTTTATTCTTATTTCACATGAAATTAATTTACATGTTTTAAGGCCTGGCTTTTTATAAATATATTGTAAAAAGTATGTGAATTTTTGGTTCCAAAACACTATTATTTTCTTATTTTCAATGCTCTTTATTTGAGCTGTTATAATATGTTTATTACTTTCCTGGTCTATTATGTACAATGTTTTCTTATTAAAATTACATATTTATACGCACTTTTGATCTCGAGCAAAGCCTTTTAGTCTGAGCTGTCTGCGAGTTAAAATAGCGAATGCAAAACAAAATAATTTATTTAAATGATTTACTTATAATATTGATGATGTTGAACAGCAGGCCGTCTTTGGAGGCGAAAGTCAGTGGGCTGAGACCGGTTTCTCCATTTAAACCGATACGACAGGCAAGCAGATTATATATATATTGAATATGTCCTAGTAAGAAAAGTATTTATGAAAAAAGAAAACTAGCAATATCATCATATTTCAGTGTATATTCTATATTATTTATAAACGTATGTTTGTGCCTTTGTGTCTAGGAGACTTATGAAGATCTGGGATTGCCACGAGGCCTCCAAGACTACGATTTTTGTGTATATCCCTCGAACTTGACGAACCCATAATACCGACAAATGGCGGCTTTTCAACGAGCAAGTTGAATGTACCGGAGAGAAAATCCTCAATTTATGCGGCCGAGTTCTTATCCGATAACCTCAATTCCGAGAGGGAAGAGGACTTCGGATGTGATCACCAACACGAGTAAGAATTAACCTTCATTTGTTAGCCAGCAAAGAGATTTCACTGAAATACCATTCATCAAAACTTGCTCGTTGATATCTTTTGACCAACGGACCCCAATCACTGAGATTATGAGATTTTAATTGTGAAAGGTCCAGACATTCTGAAGGTCATCACTTGCAAATAACCATTCTACAGCATATCTTGTTCGCAGGGTGAAGATAGACACAAGCTGGATTTTCACTGCCACTGCATCAGATTGCCTCCGCGTCAGACGTCTTCAGCGAATTTCGCATTTAAACAGGAACTTATTCACCATTTATTTGTATAAAATAAGGTTTAGAAACTATCAGTAAATCTTTAATTAGGCTTGCAGTAACTATATTTCGCAGAAATTGATGAAGAATGTTTCCACAGCAAAAGGGCTTTCTCAACCCGACTGGGCTGCAGTTATGATATCGTCTGGGGATCATCTCACAGTGAAATGAAAATTTGCTCAGAATAACATGAAATAAACTAATCAAATAATTATCTCTATCTATATATCTAGTTATTTATATATATATGCTTTTGCTTATTTTTTATTGTATTTATCATGTTGTTTAGAACGGCTTCGTCTTCTCGACTTGGTATTAGTTTGGAGTTGATGTAAGAATGAAGTGGAATGCTGACAATTTCTTTGAAATGACTGAAGAAAGCTTAAAGAGTAGTTCCAGTGAACTGGCTTAATTTAACCGTCAGATGAATAGTTCGCGAATCATGAGCCGGCCATCTTCTTTTTGTGAGAGAAAGTCATTTTAGTACCCCTTTTTCTCCAGACAAGGAAGCCTTCAAAGTTCGGATTAAAAGTGGATGACATTTCTGTGTAGGACTGTGAAAAAGACGAACAGCTGTGTCTGACCGGCCTGTTTGTGTGCTAGTGACTTTCGTCATGAGGTCATCACACCTCGAAGAAGAGTCTTCCAAATCCAGCAAATATTTGCTGGGTTCAGGAGAATACTTTTGATAAAAAGAACATTTTGACTGGCGTAATTTTAGGCTTTTCCAGTAATACAACTTTGTGCACGATATGAAATGACAATCATCTTGACTGATTACCTCTCTCCATAAATTTTACACATTTATGTACAACATACCATATACTAAGCCAATGCCCAACTTAGCGAACAAACCTATCCTTCATTCTGCCAACAAAACTAATACAAAAAAAACATAAAAATCAAAAACGCACAAAACTAAAATATACATTATAGTCAGCCAACCTCAAAATAATATTACTATTCATATCCGACCCATCCACACCAAAAACAAAAACTTCGGTCCTGACGAAGTGAGATTATCCCATTCTTTTAGCCGGTTCACAAAACCATAAATTGGGTATCCGTAAGTAGGAAGATAAACCTGGAAAAGTGAGATCACAAAACGACCCCTCCAGTTGAACTCGTCTCTGATTCGTCCAAGTTGGAGTCCAAACATGACAGTTGTCTACATTGTTGAGCTTACTTCAATTTCGAATGAAAGTGTTGAGTGAAGCGATTCAAAGGTCGGTTCCACCAGAAGACGACGGTGGATTCCTCTTGACCAGCTGTCGATTGGCTTTACTG